TAGGGTTTCCAAGGCTGTATATCTGAAAGCCTCAACTTTCTCCGGCGGAGCAACTGGTAAATTTGAACTGTTGACCTTGAGGTTAGCAGCCCAATTAGTAACGCAGTGTGTTACCAGGGCTCCTTGGCCAAGTTAGGCTTATGTGCCAGGCTTCGGTTACACTTACTCTGATCGCGTCTCAGTTGCTTCTTTAGGTGAGTAAGACTTGCCCACCATATGCATGAGCATGACCACCCTTTGTTTATTGATGTTTCCATTTGGGGATTGTATCTTGTCCTGAGTGACTTCCTGGGCGTGGTCTCAAGCACTGGCTTCCTTCCATTTTGTGGGATGGTTTGAAACACCCTATTGATGCAGCTGTGTGAAATCTGCTGTATCCCAAGGAACTTTTACAAATTTTCGTCTTACATTTGATTACTAAAAATGAAGCTTGTGATTAAATGCACTGGAAGTGTATTGGCCTGTGGACAAATTGGTCCTTTCATGGACCAGCCTCAGAGGAGTCTTCGAGTTGTCTGGGTTGAGTGTGAAATGTGGAAATGAGATTTCTTTTCAGAATTCCCACTTGGCACATGTGTGAGGCATGTTGAGATTTCATGGGACAGGTCTCTTAGGGAAGCACAGAGAGCTGGGGTCATGGATAAGGAAACTAGATTTAGTAAAGTAGCCAGAACTTAGGCAACTCCAAGGAAGTCTGATTTGATGCATGTTACACAGGAACCAGTTTATAAGTGGTGGGCAGCAGCGTCTTATTTCACTGGTGTTAGGTAATATGACGCTAAAAAGAAAGAAATGTCTGTCCTTGTTCTCCTAAGGGCTAACCAAAATCAGGCTTAAGCCAAGCGGTCTGGATTTGAAGACGATGTGTCAATTCCAGTGTACCTGTTAATATTGTTATCAGACAAACAATGCCATCGCTTAGTGGTATTAAAATTTATTGTGACTGTTTAAAGATCCTGTGGGTCAGGAATTCAGGCAGAGCATGGCTGGAATGGTGTGTCTTCACTTCACAATATCTAAGGTCTGGTCTCTGCTGGGAAGACCTGAAGGCTAGGGTGACTTGATGACTGGGGGCAAAAGTCATCTGGAAGTTTCTTAACTCACCTGTCTGAGGGTTGATGCTGTGTATTGGCTTAGTGTTTAATTGTGCTTTCAGCTGGAACATCTAGATGTGGGTCCTCTTGATCTGGTTTCCATGTGGGGGGAGTTTGAGCTTCCTCACAATAATGGCTACTGAGTTCCAAGAATGAGTATGGCAAAAGAGCATGGTAGGATGAATGACCCTTTCACGATCTAGCCACAGCTTCAAACGCTGTTGGTTGAAGCAATCTCAAAGGTCCATTCAGGATCAAGGAAAGGGGTCATAGACCTCACTACTTGATGTGAGGGAGTGTCAGGGTCACCTTGAACTAAGAGCATGAATAGTGATGGGAAGTATTCAACCCCACCCAGCAATAAAGTTGTGCTGCGGATGTCAAGATACGGTCATCCCCTAGATGACAGTTGGATTCTCTGATAAAAGTGAATCCAAAGTTCAGAGGGGTCTTTTGAGTTCTTGGGTTGAGCTTCAGTATTCAAATGGAATATCCTGAACAAGTAGCCCATGATTGTGGCAACATTACATCTGATTGGCCATTTCATTTAATGAAAAATTCTGCCAATCTTCTGGGTGTTTATCTACAAATAGCAGATGACACTCTAAGTCAGTCACATTAATGGTTTCAGACTTTTTCCTCAGTTCACTAGACTCGCATCTCTTTATAACTTGTTAAAACTTCATCCAGTTTCCCATCTATCTAACAACTCATCCACCCCTCCACCACCCGTTCACTCATCCACCTCACATTGGTGCATGCTGTTTGTCAGGCAACATACTGGGCATTATGGCAGGAGGAGGGGTGGGAAGAGGCAGAGCTCGGTAGATCATGGACCATGCCTTCAGGTGACTTGGTGTCTCTTGAGATGCACCCTTCTACCAGTAAGTAACAATGCTCTGGGGTTGCTGTGGAGTCTTGCTTGCAGGGAACTCTCCTAATGAAGCCACATCCTCTAGACCTGAGGTGGACTTGGCTATTAGTGTTCTTGTGACACCTCCCCACCCCCATCCTTTCTGGCAGTGCCCACATTTGGTACCAAGCAGGCCAATACCATCTGGATTGAGTTTGTGACAACCAGTGATGATAACGTATACAGAACCAGCCAAACAGACATGGGATTTTGGTTGTCTGTCTGATGGCAGTTGGAACACAGCCGTCTTTGTTGACTACGTTTTAGCCACTCATTTCCCCATTATCCTAGAGCCAGCCACACACTGCAGCTTGGGATTGGGTAACCTTTTGGATCTTTCATGAAGTCATTGCCATTTTTCTTGCCAAATTCCTTACTCCAACTATAGAGTCCTTCTTTGCTCTGGTTTCTAGTAGCCCACCTTCTCCAGTGTGCTGGTGGGAGACATGGGCTTCCCTGTGCTGCGCTGCTTGACTGTTTTGCCTCATTCACACCCCTGGGTGTTCAGTCACTTGTGCTGTGACAAAGCCGCAGGAAGATGTGAGGGGCAATCTGACACACACAGGAACCAGACACCCGCATTCCCATGATGCTGCTGCCACTGAATGAATGAATCAGTGAATCACTGTGTACACAGAGACACTGCACAGAGGTAGATTACACAAGTGATCATTTTGAGGGATTTCTAGGACATTATTGTAAACGAGCACAAATTTAAATGCTCTGTGTTAGATCCCAGTGATCAGGGTTTTTTGTTTTGTTTTAAGGTGTGAAAGATCAATTCTTAGAGCAAACTCTTTCCCTTTGCCCCCAAGCCTCATCAACTCCTGTTCATATGGTGGTAGACTCTGCTTGGTTGGATGATGGATAATTCAAAATCCTGTTGGGGGCACAAATGAAGGGTGGTGCTCTTCCCCTTTAGGTGCCATGGTAAATGTGGTCCAGCCAAGGCACCATGTTCTTTCTGGGCACATCACCAAGGTGGTAAGGGGTCAAGCTCAAGAGTAAGGCAGTGGGAATATCTCTTGACATGTTACACTTCAGATTTAAGGAGCGTTTATGGATCCCTCTTAGGTTCAGATACGTTACTTTTTTAAAAAAATGTAATCCACACAACAGCCAGTTCAGAGATAACTGTTCCCTTGACCTTGCTCAAGCAGAAAGAGAAGCCCAGAGGGGTAAAGTAATTTGCTGAAGGTCACACAGTAGGTTGCTCAGTATTCAGTCCCAGAGCTGTCAGGATCCCAATGCTGAACATTGTGAGGGGTTAGAGTAGTAAAGTTTTCTCATAGGAAAAGCCACCTCAGGACTCCTTGCTAAGAACTCCAAGTAATCCCATCTTTGTTCTGTCTCAGGTGTGCACACAGGTACATTTGCCCACATCCAACCCCTACTCAATGCTGCTGACGCATGTGTTCTCAGCATGGGAGCTCGGGCGGATTCAGAGGTTCCCACACAAATGGTTTCAAGATACAGACTTTATATATATATTCGCAGAACCGATGGCTGGTTCATTCTGTCCAACAAAACATGAAAACACCCTGCTTTCTATTGACCGTCTGGTTTGTCCAGAAAGTTGTCTTGTTGGTAACAGCCCTGTTTGAAACAAGCCCACCGCTTCCCTTTCGGCCAGAACACAGTCGGCAGGCCTACCAGTTGTGCAACAGAACCTTTACTTTGTATTTGTGTGTTTTGCCTGGTGTGTTTGTGGGTTGCAAAGGGACTCGTGTTTCCATGTTTACAAAGAGCAGTATGGTTGCAAATCTGTGCTAGTGATAGACGGGAGCTGGCCAGGGGTCCCGTTACACAAATATTATTTATGAAACCCAAAGCTCAAGTCAAGCCTTCCCTTGAAATAATAGCGGGGTATATGCATTGCAGTGAAGAACTGAAAATTAGCATATTTCCAAATCCTTCTTGGTGACTTGTTCTTTTTTGAAAAGTTAAACACAGCTCTGTGTGTGTGTGTAAAGCAATATTATAACATTATGGACATTTTCGGAGATGAAAAGTAAGTTGCCTCCAACCCTGATGCAGTAACACAGCTCATCTTGTTGGTGCCCTTGGAGTTTTTGGTGATGAGCGTGTTTTTTTTTTTTCTCTTGAAGCCATCGGTTTATATACATTTTTATTCCCTTTTTACTTCACAGTATTTTATAGTCATTTCCTGTGTTGTTTCTTCTTGATATAGGGCAGAGTGGAATTGCCCTATAGGGTTTGCAGGAGTCCTGGATTGCTAACTGCAAGATTGGTGATTCAAACCCACCAGTCACTCCTTGAAAACCCTATCCAGGGTCACTATGGGTGAGAGCTGACTCGATGGCATTTAACAACCACAACAGTAGGGTTTCCAAGGCTGCATCTTCGGCGACGCAGACTGCCTTGTCATAGAGTCGCTATGAGTCGAAATTAACTCATTGGCTCAACAGCGTAGTTTCGCACATGTTCGATGGTTAAGAAATATGTAAACACTACAGAAATGGGCACTTCTTGAAAATCACCCTAAGTGGCTTGTGGGTATAAGTGTCGAAAATCCTCTTTGAAAGCCCTGCAGCTAGTCGGTGAGCGTGCAGGGTGAGCTGTCTGAATGGGAAGGGAAGTTTGTCACACTAGATGTGGCTAAGTGTGACACATAGACACTCATTATATATTGGAGGAGCAGGTAGGTGGGTGTGTGCATGTGTGTGCTGTAGTATCAGCACCGCACTTCAAATCACAAGGTGAGCGGTTCAAGGACACCAGCTGTTCCTCGCAAGCCCTATACAGCTTCACTGTGAGTTGGAACTGATTCAATAGCATTGTTATTAACAACAACATCAAGAAGTTGCGCAGGTAGCTGGGTGCAGTTTTTGCCTTCGTCTCCCATTTTCTCACGAGGCACTGGTGTTTCAGTGGTAGAATTCTCATCTCCCATGCTGGAGACCCAGGTTCAAGTCCCACCAAAGCACCTCATGTGCAGCTGTCTCCCATCCATTGGTGAAGGCTCACGTGTTGCTGTGAGGCTGAGCAGGCTTCAGTGAAGCTTCCAGACCAAGACAGACTAGGAAGAAAGACCTGGTGATCTACTGCCGTAAATCAGCCCACAACAACAGGGAGATCCGAGGTCAATCCTGGGGGGGTGGTACAGGACCCAGTTACGTGTCGTGTGAGCAGTTGTCATGAGTCAGGGCATCAACTCAACGACAGCTAGCAACATAAACAACTGTTTCTCGGAGAGAAAATCGTTCACACATACACACACACCCCAATGCAAAATCTGCAGTGTGCTCAGATTGTTCCCTGGCATATCAGTTCCGTCGGAACAAATTTGTGTTTTCAAAATAAGCGATAGCGGAACCGACTGTACCTTTTCTGTTTGTATTCCCTCTTGTTTGACTGGCATCTTAAGCTTCTAGTCAGTTTGCAAACAGAAGCTGAGTTGCCAGAAGAGCATTTTTATCTTTGTAGACTGTAATAAATAAAAGTAAGACTGTAGATAGATGATTACTTTTTCATAAATAAGGATTCCATCAAGTTTACTTGATCATAAAGGTCTGTCCTTACCAGATTACTATCTGCTGTATTTTCACAATTTGGAACTTAGAGCAAATGGAGCTACAAAATGAACTTCTCGTGCTTTCTTTTCTTTTGATTAATTGAAAACCCTTTCATTCATTCATTCATTCATTTGTTTTTTAAGGAACCCTGTTGACTAGCAGTAGTCATTGATTCTCTTTGTAGTTGGGAGGGACAAGTTCGGATTTCTCTTTGAAGAGAGTCCTCTCTGACTGAGCTCCAGTCTCTTGAGGGAGGAGTGAGGCTGAACTAACATGATAGATTGGCTTCTCCAATCCCCCTTGAGTAGACATGAGGTTCGTCCTGTCATTCCATCTTGTCCCTGGGTTTCTGCCTTGATCTACCCTCCTCTCCAACCTCACCATGGGAATGAGGGATGGAGGGCAGCATTCCTGCCTCAGCCCTGAGGAGTGTGTCCTTCTGAACCTCTGGAGAGTCTTATGATGATAGCCTCCCTCAGTAATCGAATGTCCTATTGGAGAGTGACTAATAACCTTGTGGTTTAAGAGACATCAGGAACCCTCTTCCTGGACTCTTTGCAGTGATTAGTATTGAAAACATTGTGCCCTTGTATCACCTAACACGTTGCCATCAAGTTGATTCTAACTTACAGTGTCGTTACAGAGTAGTACGTTTATGGAGTCAGACTGCTGTATCTTCCGCTCATAGAGCAGCTGGTGGATTCGAACTGCTGACCTCTTGGTTGTATTACCAAACCTACCTAGCCTCTTGTTTGTGAGTCAGTTCCAATTCATAGACCTATAGGGTCAATTAGAATGACCCAATAGGGATTCCAAAGCTACTAATTAAAAAACAAACCAACAAAAAACTGTATTGTGAATTGAGTGAGGGCTTACAGATCACATCATCAGTTTTACATTCAACCAATCATATACTCTGTTCATCTCAGTGGTCTCAATCCCTTCAATGAGGCCTATCCTATATCCATTAAATAATCACTCCCACCAACTCCCAACTTCCCTTATACCCTGGCAACTACTAACCTGCTTTCCATCTCTCTGGATTTGCCTATTCTGAGTATTTCATACTAAAGAAATCACAGATTCTGTGTCACCTTTTATATCTGGCTCAAGGTGTAACCTTTCATGTAAGCATGTGTAACTTCTCACATCTGGCTTCTTACACTTAACAAGTGTTCAGGATTCATCCAATGTATCAATACTTTTAAATGTATCAATACTTCATTTGTTCTTACGGTGGAACAGTGTGCGTTGTCTGATTATACCACACTTTGTTTATGCATTCATCCACTCATGGACAATTGGATACTGTCCACTTTTTAGCTATTATGAATAATGCTGTTATGAACATTCAAGTTCTAGGTTTCACGGGGACATATGTTTTCATTTCTCTTGGATGTAGAACTAGGAGTGTATCATATGATAGCTCTGTGTTTAACCTCTTGAGGTACTCACCAGAAATTTATGTGAATTCCAATTTCTCTACATGTCTTTCTACACTTGTTTTTCTCTTTTGTTGGCAGCCAACCTAGTGGGTGTGAAATAGTGTCTCATTGTGGCTCCCCTCATCCCTGCGGTACTACAGAGCCCTCAATCATATTCTCACCTAGAAGCCACCTTGGTTTACATGGATCGGAGCCAAGTTGCCTGAGTGGCAACCATTTCCCTTAGTTACATAGGATGGAATGGGAAGACACGTTTCTTCTTACTACTGAATCTCTGACTAGGACACCTGAAACAATCAGTGTTCTGACCCCGGAACTGCCCAGACCAGGCTCTTCCCAGAACCCATCTTGTCTTTACTCCTCCTGAGGACTTCATATCCCAAGTTCTAATGATGGGTGCCCGTACCCCTTCACCTCGAAAGGAGTTACCCCAAATGTGGAAACAATGCAGATGAGAGATTGAACATGCTGCAATCCTGTTTCAGGATGGCATCTCTGGTGTATGTGTGGGCAGACAGCAGGTGTGTACAGCTTCTTCTTGCTTTGCTTTTTAGTTTCCCATGTATCTTGGACAGTGGAGAAGCCAGGGTAGGAAATACGGTTGGTGATGAGTCTTTTGGTATTTGAGCCAGTGGAGAACTACAGCAGATGGGAAGAGAGGTCCACTTAGCGCACGAGTGAATGGATGAGCTGAAAGTGACAATTGGACCTTGGTTCAAGTCCTTTGGGATCAGTCAGAAGTTTTTATGCAGTTGAAGGAGTTAGTGTAGGTTTCTTAATTAGAGTGGATTCAAAAATCAACTCTGCCCTTACCATCTCTCAGTTGGGTTGTAGAAAAGGGGATGAGACAGCGTCTGCTCAGTACTTGGTAGTATGCCCATGTCTGAAAAATGTTTAATAAATGTTCCGAGTTACTAGTGTTATCATTAGACTGTATTAGCATCCACCCACCAAACCCATTTGCCATTGAGTTGATTCCAACTCATAGCAACCCTATATAGGGTTTCTAAGACTTTAAATCTTTATAGGAGCAGACAGCTTCATCTTCCTCCCACGGAGCAGCTAGTGCATTTAAACCACCAACCTCCTGGTTAGCAGTCCAGTGCTTACCTACAGCATCACCAGGGTTTCTTGTATTAGCTTGGTGTTGTTAAGTGCGTTGAGTCGGTTCCTACTCACAGTGACCCTGTATGGGATTTCCAAGTAGCAGCTAGTTGATTGAACTACCAACCCTGTGGTTAGCAATCCAGTGCGTATCCTATAACTCCACACCAGGACACCTGTTTTAGCATTGTTGTTAAGTGCAGTTGAATGGGTTCTGACTCATAGCGACCCTTTATAGATAGGGTTTCCAAGGCTGTAAATCTTTATGGGAGAAGAAAACCTCATCTTTCTCCCTCAGAACAGCTGGTGGGCTCGAACCACCAACCTGTGGTTCACAGTTCCCTTGCTTATCCTATAGAGCCACAGCGCTCCCCTATATTATGTTTGTTGTTAAGTGCCGTCTGATAGCAACCCTGTGTAAGAGTTTCCAAGGAGTGCTAGTGAGTTTGAACCTCCAACATTGCAGTCCAGTGCCTTATCCTGCAGTGCCACACCAGAACTAAACATTAGCATGTTGTTGTTGTTGTTAAGTGCCGTTGAGTCAGCTCCTACCCACAGGGACCATTTATAGGATTTCCAAGGAGCAGCTGGTAAGCTTGAACCACCAACCTTGTGGTTCAAACCAGCTTTGCAGTCCAGTGCATTAACCTACAGTGTTACACCGGGGCTACCCATATTCTCCTCTCTTTCCTCCGCCCCGCTGTTCCTCCTTCTCTTCCTCCTTCCCACCTCTCCTGTTCCTTCTTCCTTTGCTCTTTGTGTTCCTCTTTGCCTTCATTCCCTTTCTTCTCCTGTTTGATGATGATCAATAAGGGTGGAAACGCCCACCCCAAAGTGGTCTTTAAAAGGCTGAATCTACTTTGGTGCAATGAAAAGAATAGAGGTCTTTGGTGAAAGCTTCCAATGAGATTGAAAACAGGTCTCAGACAGACAAAGAACAGTACCCGCCCAGTGTAGCACTGTGCAGCCATCATGGGAAATGACAGTGTGCTTTTGTCTTGGTTCAGTTCAATGATGTCTTAAAATCAGCCTTCTGGATTCATCCTGGAACGACTGACTTTGGGCATCTGAGGGTCCATCCATGCCCAGAGATAGTAGTACCTCTGTCCTGAGGACTCGTGCTTTGCTTGTTGGTGGGTACTGATTTTCTGCTTCTCTCTCACCTTGTACCCCAGGTTGAAAGGATTGTAGACAAGCGGAAGAACAAGAAGGGAAAATGGGAGTACTTGATCCGATGGAAAGGGTACGGGAGCACCGAGGACACTTGGGAGCCGGAGCACCACCTCTTGCACTGTGAGGAGTTCATCGATGAGTTCAATGGTCTGCATGTGTCCAAGGACAAGAAGATCAAGTCGGGGAAGCAGCCGAGTGCCTCCAAGCTCTTGCGTGACAGTCGAGGGCCGTCGGTCGACAAGCTGTCCCACAGACCTTCAGAATCGGGAAAGAGCAAAGGGACTTCCCATAAACGGAAGCGAATAAACCCTTCGCTGCCCAAGCCAAAAAAAGGGTATTCCACGAAACCCCCTGCCGGAGGTGACAGGGCCACCAAGACTGTGTCTTACAGGACTACTCCGAGTGGTTTGCAAATCATGCCCCTGAAGAAGGTTCAGAATGGGATGGAGAATGGGGACGCCGGTTCCGAGAAGGATGAGAGGCACTTTGGAAATGGGTCTGATCAGCCCGGCTTGGATTTGAGTGACCACGTGGGTGAGCATGATGAGGGCGACAGTGATGTGAACCACGAGCCACTGGTTGAGAACGGCCTTGGTATGTGGCTTTTCTTTCTTTGGGTTTGGCCCTGACCATGGAGGAAGGGATGTAGAGTGTGACCTAGGGAAGTGCATAGACCCCAGCCCCACCCCGCCCCCATCCCGACTCTTAGCTAGCTCGTAATTCTCCCTTCATCTCTCTTGCCTAGGGCCATGTGGACTTGGTCATGTACCCACTTTGGTGACAGACAGTTATGCTTGTGGGGACACCAAGCCTCTGATGCAGCAGCCAAGCTCTGTTATGAATCTGAAATCTCTGACTGAACTTCAGGACACCCAAAGCCATGGTAACCATTCTAGAGACCCTTCTGTGGGTCCACTCCAAGCTCTCACCCTTTAGTACCCTAGACTCATGCCCCAAGGAGCCAGTGCCTTACAGGGTAACATGTAACGCACAGTGCTCAAAAGAGCGCTTACGTTCAATTCCACTATGCCCGCAGGAGTGCGGCCAAGAGAACTGGGCTCTGGATTGGGGTCTGATCCTTCACCTCAGGCACAGTTCTGACCTGGAATGGTCGCAGCCTGTCTGGGGGCTGGAGCCTTTGACGAAGAGGGATGACCTTACATGGCTGCCTGAGCACCTCCTGTGAGAATTCGTTTTGTTTGCACCTTCCTGCTCTATCTTGAAAGGAGCTCTGGTAGCGTAGTGGTTATGAGTCGGGCTGCTAACCTCAAGGTCAGCAGTTTGAAACTACCAGTCATTCCTTGGGGAAAAGATGAAGCTCTCAGCTCCCATAAAGATTTACAGCCTCAGAAACCCCACGCAGGGTCACTATTAGTTGGAACTGATTCCACAACACATAGCCATCGTCACTCTATCCCGAAGGAACTCTGGTAGCGTAGAGGGTTACATGTTGGGCTGCAAACTGCACGGTCAGTAGTTTGAGTCCACCAGAGGGAAAATGGAGAGACTCTCTGCTCCTGTAAGGATTTATAGCTTCAGAAACTCTGTACACGGCCACTGTGAGTTGGAATTAACTCCATGGCACACCATTCTATCTTGGGAGCAAGGCAAAAAGTTATGGAATTCCCCTGTCTTCCCTAAACCCCTACAGGAAAAAACGAAGGAAAGAGGCATTTTGGTGCAGATCTTTCAGGTTCCTCAACCTGACACTTCCTCGTATGTAGCTAACAGCTAACGTGTGCTTTCACGGAGCTCTTTTCATGACCTGAGTCTTTCAGGCTGGGGAATGTAAGTCAGTTATACACACTCCCTCACTTTTTGAATCTGTGTTCCCACATTTGCACGTTGCTGCTGGAGCCCTAGGCCTAGGTGTGTCAGGCTGATCCCCTTCCAGCAGAGCAGGGTGTTTGGTCTCCGGGTGGGGGCTGGAGTGCAGGTTGGGACCAGCTGAGAGAGCTCACAGGCGGCTGGGTGAGGAAGAAAGACACACAGTAAAGTACCAGTGATGTCAGAGTGCTCTGAGCAGACTCTGGGAATCGGCTTTTGCTGGGGAATCGAAAGCAATCTGCTCCGAGGTTCCTCTTTCTCCAGAGAGAGGAATTTCACCCAAACAGGACTGATTTAGCAGTGGCTGTCCCAGATTGACTCCTGTTTCCGTCTGGGGATCCCTGACGCTGACATAACTGTGCTTGTGAACATATGTAGACGCTGTTTGTTTTAGAGATCCGTCTCCTGGGGAGAAGTGGGCTTGTGTAAATGAGAGCTGGCGTCAACATCCTGGGTTTGATGTTGCAGTGACAGCTGCCAGCCAGAGACACGCTCCCTGGGTTGGGGTGGGTGGCTCTGGAGCTCCTGAAGCTCTGGGGGGAGATGGGGAACCATGGTGGGAATCTGGGCCCGAGTCCGAGTCCCTGCACTTTGGCTGTGGGCCCACTGCCCAGGAGGAAGGGAGCCCATGGAAGAGGCCGTAGTGGGAATGCCGTGTGAGGGAAGTAAGTCAGGCATGTGGAACAGCCAAGGAGATATAGGCTCCTCTGTCCTGGCCAACTTTGCAAAGTGGGCCCCAGGTGTTGGCTGTTTCTTCATCCTTAAGTAGCCCTGGTGGTCTTGTGGGTTAGGCACTGGACTACTAACAAGTCAGCGGTTCAAACCCACCAGCTGCTCTGAAGGAGGAGGATGCTCTACATTGAGATGCTGGACAATCAGCACTGGGCGGCAAACTGCAAGGTGGGCGGGCGGGCAGCCCAGACTCACCACACAGGCTCTCTGGGAGTTGGAACCAGGGCGGTTAGGTTTTGGTGTCCATCGTTGGTCCTCCTGGATGCCTCCTGGACCATAATCTGATGGGGGTGTGGTCGCACACATGCTGGGCAGGCATGAGGTGAAAGGACAGAGACCAAGCAGTGGGGGTTATTATGTATTTGATTAATTTTGGTGACTATCTCAGGGAGCCTCAAAAAGTTTGTGGACAAATTCCATTATCTGTGAATCCCATTTTCCTAGAACTTGTTGAAGCCGCTCGTACTTGGAGCGTCACATTTGCCGTTTGAATGTTTTCTTGTGTCTAATTCCATGACATTAATAGCACTCATCATGTTGCACAGCCGTCCCCTTATCCATTTCCATAGTCTCCCTTCACGGAAGCTCCCTGTCACCCAAGCACGTTTGATTTCTCATCCTTCCCCTCTCGCATGCTCCTGGCAACCACCAGTAAACATTGATGTTCCTCGTGGTTGCCTGTTCTAGATATGTTGCTATGAGTTACAACGGACTCAGCAACATACAACATCAACAAACTTCCACATACTGTAGATGTTCCTGGAGAAAGACAAGGCAGTTTGCTCCCATAAAGGTTGCAGCTTTTAAAACTCCGTTGTTACTAAGTGCCATCGACTCAGTTCCAACTCATAGAGACTCTGTATAGGGTTTCCAAGGGATAGCTCGTGTGTTTGAACTGCCAGCCTTGCAGTTCAAACTGACCTTGATGTTGAGTGTTTATCCTGTGGCACCACCCCAGGGCGACTCAAAGCTCTATAGGGCACTTCTACTGTGTTCGATAGGGTGGATATGAGTGAGGCATTTGACTTCATGGCCTTGGTTTTTATTCTAGATGCTGCGTGTAAGTGGCTGATTTTCATCTATATCATGTTTCTAGTTCCACCCGTGTCATATATGCATCAGAACTTCATTTGCTGGTATACCTTATGTTTATCCGTTCCTCTGTTGATGGAAGTGTTAGTCTCATTAACTCCAAAACGCTTCTCTAGATTTTCCTCTTCTCTGATCTCTTCTTCTGCCTCATTTTGGTCGCTGGTGGGGATGCTCTGCTCCTTGGGCCATGCTTAAATGGAGAAGAGGAAGCTGCCCTTTTTGGTGCTGTTTTGGGTGTTCCAAAAAGGGCCTTCAATCCCATTCCATTGACAAGGTTCTCAGCCTGTATGTATACAAGGTTCATCTGGCACTTTGTTAAAACTACAGCTGCTTTAGAGTCTGACTCACTAAGCAGAGGGTGGAGCCTACAAGGTAGGTTTTTGATACTCATCCGAGATGACGTCGGTATATTCTGAGAAATCCTCCATGGCCATATAGGGTCAGCTGTTACATTTCCCATCATGTGTCCAATGTCTGATTATCCATGAAGCAAGGTAAGCACGGGCTTACTTGTGCTTACTAATCTGTAGTGAACAATCCCCCCCCACCCCCCGTACCCCCCACACCCCATCCAAGATTCTGCATCTAGCTGTGACTGGCATGTGTCTCTCACCCTCTCAACTGCACAGCACCTTCCTACAGAAATCAAAGCCTCGTTACAAATTCACCGTCGCTGACAGGGACAGGGTGTCAGCACAGAGGACATTGTTTCACATATGAAACATTGGTTTCACCATATGGGAAACTGTTCATTATAGATTCGTAAGTGAGCACAAGTAGGCCTGCACTTACCTTGTTTCCTGGGCAATCCACCCTGCATGTGTCGATTTAATTCTCTTTAATACTTAGTGTTTGAGCCCCTGCTGAGGCTTAGTTACTAGACTAGGTGCTTGGAATAGAATAATTAAAAGATAGTTAGGGACTTCTTCCTCATGGGAGAGTGGCTGCCTGTTGGGAAGGCTCAGTGGAAGCAGTAACATGGGTATTAGGCACAAGTTCTGCGCCTGCCTTACCGCCTGTGATGTCTTCTGTGGCCAGTGAGGTGACCACTGTCTTGGTCACTGTCAATCCAGTTTGGAGTGACCTTATTATCCAGGTCTTGTGGGAAGAGGAAAAGACTGGGAATCCTTGCCTAGAGAGAGATAAAGAGTTTTGTTGAAGAGAATGATTTGGGGCTTTTGGATAGGCTACAAGACAGAGGGAGCTACAAAGAAAGGTTCTAGAGCTTTCCAACAAGGAATCAGATGTGAAGGCAGGAAGAAACATGGCACCGTTGGTGTCAGCCAGGGAGCAGCCCTGTCCAGATCCATGGTCATACCTACCCTGGAACCCTGCCATGTCCTCCTCACTTCCTTCCCCTACCTGTGCCTCCCCTCTGGATTGCAGAACCCAGTCCCCGTGGGCGCAGGAGGAGCCAGGGAGGAAGGCCCTCACTGTCTGGAGGAAGGGGGTGGGAAGACCCTGGCAGTGCTTGCACAGCATTTGTTTTTGGGGGTAGGCTGTTGCTTTTTATGTGATTTTAACTCCTCTGTGGTGAATTAAGGTTCTGCATACAGAAAAGCTACTTATATAACGCGTTACTCATTTACTGCTGACTTCCTTGGTCTGTACTTTGGGAACACATTCTAAATCGGGGTTCTGCCGGCTAGTGTTGTGGTTTCAGACTGCCTTTGTGACGTATTCACCAGCGACTCAGTTACGCCTTCAGTTCCAGTCTTTCTCCAGTCATGACAAATGGCTTTGTGGTCAGGGGGCCATCTGTTGTGGTATCCCTCAGGGAGCTTGTTAAAAATGGGATCCCCGGACCCAGTCGAAAGAATCAGAGTCTCAAGAGGTAGGGGGTGAGGTTATGCATTTTGAATGCTGAATTTTAACAGCTGTGGGTCTACTCCGTATTTCCTGTGGGTGTGTGTAGTTACAAAAGATGGTGGTAGATCCCAAAG